AGTTTTAAATAATTGTTTATGAATATAAACATTGTTTTATGTAATAATTATTTAATTAAAAATATAAAAGCATAAACACTGAGACTCAAAATCTTTTATTTACATATTTATCTTTGCGATTAAATCGATTTACTAGTGATTATTAGAAATTTGTCTTAGGAAACAATTTCGATCTCGATTTATTAGGGACTATTCCCAAGGTTACAAATTAAATAATATCTTTTCTATTTTAATTTAATAAATTTTTTATTTAATCCATTTATTAGATAGGGTATGTGACACATATTTTTCTCATCTTCTCGAAAATTAATTAGTTTTTTGTATGATCCTCCCCTCTATATGTATAACATAAATAGAGAGAGATTCAGGGGAAACATTTAAAAGAAATGAAAAACTAAAGAACGCTATGGTAAGCGTTCATTTGGAAAATATGTACATGTGCATATAAGAAATTGAACTTGTTTTTTGGTTTTATGCACGTATGTATGTTATGCACATGTGCATACCAGACAAATTGCTTATAAATTACTTGTATACACATGTACATATGATTCAGATGAACGATTATCAGGGTGTTCATTAGTTTTGTTTTTTAACATTTTTTCTTGAACCTGACTTTATATATATAAATGGGTAAAATGCACAAAATAACAATCTACTTTCATAAATTTGTATATTATATCATTGTACTTCCCTTTTTTTTATTATAATAATGTACTTTCAAACTATTTTTTCATTAGAACATTGTACTTAGAATATTTTACCCATAAAGCATTGGATAACTTTTTGATTTAAATTTACCCATTATATCAGGTTTTCATGTCACCTCATTATCCACGTACGTTGTTCACATGTACTATAGTGATGTGACTTTCTTACTACATCATTGTATTTTCAAAATTATTATATTATAACATCTACTACTTATTAAACATTGTATTTTAAATTTTAATATTCAGATATTTTACATGTTATTTAATAAATATATTAAATGAATTAAAAAAATTAAATTATTCATTAATATATCAATATCAATTGGGATAGTTGGACCTCTTCTCCTTATCTTGTTTAGTCTCTTGGTTTGTATTTGATTTTTTTGTTGTTTGGTTTGGGCCTCGTTTTGGGGACTTTTTCTGGCCTTGTGGAATTATTTTCTTTTCGTTGTATTGGACTCTTGTATCTGTTTGTATCCTATTGGTTGGCTTGGTGAGGGTGATGGCCATGCCGAAGCTCTCTTCCTTGTCCTTCCTTTTTGCCTTTCAAAAAAAAATAGAACTAGTAGAATACAACTGATCTCGCTAATATTTTTTTTTTAAATTATGTGTTTTTTGAGAAAGAAAATTAGAATTGTTCTTTTTTTTACCAAAATATATTATCTTTAAAAGAATATATTATATTTATTCAAAAACTTTTACTTGACATATAAATATATTAAATTAATTAGAGTTTTTTGAATTATTTATTAATATAACAATATTAAAAAAATTATAGATCACAATTTATTTCGTTAACATTTTAAATAGAACTTTAAAAGATATGTATTTATTTGAACAATATAAAATAAGAGCTGTTACATTTTTTACAAACAAAATATATCTTGAAAATAATGTTTCATATTTATTTACGAAATATTTTACTTTATAGTATTTAATTTGCATGCAACTTAATAAGAAAAAGTCAAAAAAATGTTGGCAATGAAAAATAAAAAATCACTAATAATACTTTGAAATAAGTTTTTTATTTTATTTTAGTTAAGTTATCAAAATGATGTGTCATCTACATCACCGCATTAAAGTCACACAAGCAAAAAAAAAGTCAAGTGGTTAACAGGTTACTCATTGCTATTATGGGTAAATTTTTTAAAATACCATGCCTTAATAAAATATAATTTAAAAGTACATTGCTGTAATAAAGAAAAACAAAAGTAGAATACTATAATAAATAAATTTTATGAAAATATGTTGATATTTCATACATTTAATTCTATATAAATAACATAAGTAATATGTATATTATATAAACAATATTTGAGTACGTTGAATTTTTTTCACTTTTATTTAATTGTAAATATATTCTTATTATTATAATATTATTTTTTTAATAAGTATATAATTATAAAAAACAAATAATTCTATGGTTACTAGAAGCGTATTCGCGCAATGCAGCGAGATACATCGTGATTTTAATATTTCATTTTATTTTTTATCTCAGTCGATGTTATAATATGACTTTATGTTATTTTGGGAAAGCGATGAGGTTTTTATTTTTGAATAAAATATATGTTTGAAGATATTATAAAATTTTGACAAAAATATATCGATATTAGTATCAAAATAAGGAATTTGAAATTCCTTATTTTTGTGTAATTTTTTTAATTAAATTTTTTTATAATTTAATTTATGTACAATAACGAA